GTAAAGACTTAATTCCTGTAAATGGAAAAATCTTCAAAGGGCTGTATCTGAGCGTGATTCAGCTTGTGACTCTGAGGAATACTGAACTGCACTGTGGTGGTTTGGTGTGTAGTAAATAAGATCTAATTATTTATTAAATTAATAGAGTTAAACTAACCTTGTCATGAAGCTGTTTCTGCTAGGTGTGGGTTACTGGGCATTCATCTAGTTGCAAAGACAAAATCACTTAAGGGATGACATGACCACTAGAGAACTGGGATTTTTAAATTTTTTTTAAAGTATATGGAATTGCAGAAACAGCTAACAGCTCTTAGGCTTTCTAAAGTCCAATTAGAAGTTTTAAATACTTAAATATTAAAAACAGTTACTCTATCTCAGGTACTTACATTACATAGAAAGTCAGAGGCAAAAAGGAAATTACATCACATTGTCAAATAAGGAACAGCTAGCTGGAGCAGATGACTTGTAGTGCAAAAATGTGCCCCTCCTCCCATGAATTGCTTCTGAGATTTGTTAAAGATATGTGGTGGCAGGGTGAGCTAAAATAGGTGGGGGATTTAAGGTAGCCACATTTCTTTCCCTCCCAGAAGTGGTAAATCCATCTTACTGCCCCCCTCTCCTTTTGCTTTTCTTGCAAGAAGTGTATCCAGTGTTGCCTTTATAAAATCTGTCCAGAATTTGTGCAGGCATTCAAAAATCTGTGCAGCAAATTGCTGTATTCCATATGCACTAAGTGAAACTTTTTAGACCATGCTTTTGTCTGCTGTGCATATCAGAAAGGTTTTTGTTAGAATCATAGAATGAATCATGGAAAGTATTGGGTTGGAAGGGACCTTTGAAGATCACCCAGTCCAACGCTTCCAGTAAGCAGGGACAATGAACCAGTTACTATGAACCTGACTCACCTCAAATATTCAATTGCATTGAGGCTGGGAGAGAAGGGATCAGAGTAACAAGATTCTCTGTGTGATCAGTGGTAGGTGTTGAGCTAAAATATATGCAAATATTTCCTAGTTTCTAAATAGAGGGTTACCGCTGCTATAGCACAAGTATTTAGTGATATGTGTGAGTAAGAAACTGTATATTTGGGATGTTTTCGGTAACTCAACTTCATCTCACAAAAATTTTCTGAAACTAGAAAAGGGTAGATTTATGTTGGATATTAGGAAAGTCCTTCCCCATGAGGTGGTCGATCACTGGCACAGGTTGCCCAGAGAGGTGGTGCAGGCCCCATCCCTGGAGATGTTCAAGGTCAGGCTTGATGGGGCTTTAAGCAGCCTGATCCAGTACCAATGTCCCTGCTCACTGCAGGGTTGGACTGGATCAGCTTTAAAGGTCCCTTCCAACCCAACACATTCTGTGATTCTACGATTCTGTATACATTCCTCGCTATGTAGGGACCCTACTGTTTTTGGATACATTTGACCACTTTCAGCTTACACATATCCTTGCTATTATTCATCACTCATCAGTTCAAGTCTGAAGGTAAATTCCTTCAGAAGGCCTTGTAAAAAAATTAAAAGTAAGATCAAGCTCGTCTCTGATATTTAAAATAAACCATATTAATGTGAGCAGGCATTAATGATTAAAAGTATCTCCTTTGCACAGTTACCTTGCCTTACACTGGATGGTGCTGATAGATGCGAATGCACTGACAAACCTTTGAAATGCCTTGGCTTGCATATGCCCTGTAGTAATTACTAGCTATAGTATTGGTATTTCAAACTGAGGTAGTTCTTTGCTTATGGTTAAATTTAGATCCACAAGTCTTTAAGGAGGCAGGACTGAGCCAACAGTTACAGTGGAAACTGTTGGTATTTGTATCTTCATGATTGACTTGTGTAAAGTTTATTTTTGTAAAGCCAATTTAAAAAAAAAAATAAATAAAAAAAAAAATAGCAGCCTTGTGAAATACATACTGCTTAGCTGTAGGAAGAACACACTATATAAAATACAGAGATTGTACTCCTTAATTACACATCCTCTTTGCTCCCTCATAAGATACTGTTTCTTCAGACAAGTTTATGCATGTTTTAAAATATAAGCATCACATCTGTAGACTCCACTGAAAAAGTGTCTAGGTGATGCAGTGAAAGAGCACATGCCTTACCTCTTGTGATACTCCTAGATTAAGGCATGGAGAGCGGTTTCATAACTGTGTCCATTCACAGCTCCCCACTGAAATGTCGGGGCAAGTCACCTTCTGTGAATTCACAAAGAGATTATTGTTAGAAGCAAGCAAGTTTTATGACTGCAGAATTTGTCTGCGCTTTATTTTTAAAAAATAAAGAGCTGATTGAAAGAAGTAAAAATTACCTTTTGCTAGAGTATGTAAATATTTAAGTCCATTTCTGAAGTTGAGCTTAGCATTCCAGAGTGACTTCAGAGAGGGAATTGTGCAACTATCGGTCTTGAGAGCCGAGATTTAGACAGCATTCAGAAAGCTGACACAGTAATTACTAGCAGTGGTTTTGGCGTGGGATCTGATGGAGGCTGGGCTTCTTAACAAGCCCTGCAAGGGTTGTATGTTATCATAGCAAGCACATTACATGTGCTCACAAACTACAGCAATGCCACCCCCCTCCTGTCTCATTTTTCATATCATAATCAATGTCTCGCTCACCGTCCTGTCAGATCTTGTATGCGTGCTGAGGTGGAGGACTATCATTTGCTGACTAATCAGTGTTCTGTATCAGTGACTTTTCAACTTGCAACTTGCATTTGACTTCAAAAACTACTGAAATGG